CATGTCTATTTACAATGAAATAGTGGCTGGGAGACTTTGGGACTGATAAATCCTCTCATGCTCATGGCAAAACCCATGCCGAAACCCATGGTCTATGTCCTGTCTCTGCAACGTTTTTCTTCCCTTGGACATTTCTTTCTATGGGGTACGTCTTTCTAGAACATTCTCCTCCATCACCCACACTCACAGAAGCCCCTTAAAGACACTCTACAGAGACAACTGACCAGCAAGACAGCAAACAAAACCAGAATTCCTTTCACTAACCTCCAGATAATGCTTCTAAGGGCCTTCGTCATGGAAATCCTCTTTTGGTACACTGACCGACCGCCTTCCGACTTTACTAGGAAATACTGGGTGGCAGCGTTCCCTTCCACTTTCACTTCCAAGGAAAGAACAACTGTGTCAGATTTACCAGTAAGTGAACAGGTACTGACACATCTGTTTAAATGGGTTTAAACCCCATTTCTTAATATTTTGCAAAGATATTCCTCCAAAAGTTAAGTTTTAAAAGCTGACTATGAAGCCACAAGCTGTGTCGTATACCTGTAATCTCAGCACACAGAAGCCCCGGGCAGGGAGAGCACAAGTTTGAAGCCAGACTGGGCTACTCAGTCAGGACCTTCTGTCACAACCAACCAATAAATAAATGCCTTATATGGACAAATTGCTCCATCATAAAAGGGCTTATATGGAGCCACTGAGATATCAATGGGCCAAAGGGCTTGATGTACAAGACGAACAACCTGAGTTCAATCCCCAGAACCACAGCGGAAGAGAAAAGTAATGCCAGAAGTTGTCCTCTGAGCTCCACACACACAGCATGGCATGTGCACCCACGCTTGCACATGCACAGATCAAATAATAAATGAAACAAAAGCTGTAAAGTAAAAAAGCTGGCATCTGCTGGGTGGTGGTGGTGGCGGCGGCGGCGGCGGCGGCGGCGGCGCACGCCTTTGATCTTGGGAGGCAGAGGCAGGTGGATCTCTAATTAGTTTGAGACCAGCCTGGTCTACATAATGAATTCCAGGACATCCAGGGCAACACAGAGAAACCCTGTCTCGAAAAAACCAAAACCAAAACAAACAAAAAAAGCTAGTATCTTAGCATGTGATTTCATTTTGAACCTGTTAAAGTTCATAAACAAATGGTGTAGTTCAGTGGTATATGTGTTTAGCATGTCAGAACATCTAGATTTGATTCTCAGTATTACCGAAAATCCTGACCAGCTTCCAGACTGAGGGTCCAGCTACACTTAGTACTCCTAAACAGGCAGGCAGGAACACAGTAGATCACGAGTGAAAACGGGTCACTGCACACTCCTACTTCACCATTTAACCACAAGGAAAGACTTCCATGCCATGGAAAGTGCTACAAAATCCGTCTATGTACTCCACAGGAAGGGTAGTGAATCCAAGAAAGGGATATTCAGCCAGGCTTTATACCTAGTCTGACAGGAGCCAAGATGAAAGGCAAAGAGTGTGTTCATCTTTGTTTTTAAAAAGATGTAGATCTGAGGAGGGATCTCCTCAAGAATGCTATCACCGATACACATCTGGAATATAAATCACTGAGGCCTACTTGATTTAAAAAAAAAAAAAAGAAAGAAAGAAAGAAAAGAAAAGAAATTGAAAGTAAACAAATGATTAGTCAGAGAGAAGTATGTGACTTTCTGAAACTCTCCTAGGGAGAAATATTCAGTTATCATTATTAGAGAACTGTTTTTAATCCTTCATATCAGAGCAGAGATAAAGCTCTGGGGTTCTCGAACCAAAATAACCATAAATGAAACACTGTGAGAAACTGCCACACGTTCTGTCTGTCAGGCCTTAGTGAATTCACAGGTGACTTCCATGAATAAAGGTAGAGGGAGAGAATGGACAACAAGGATCTGCTGGGCTCAAGTTCAGCTCCATCATAGGTGATATCAGGCAAACCGACCTGACTTCCTGGGGCCCTGGTTGACTCAACTGAGAGGTTTGGGGATAAAATATGTATTGTAGCTCTTTATGATTGCTGTTACACTGTTCTGCTATTACACAAAATTCCTAGATTTCCCCAACTCTTGTAGTCACAAAGTTGCAATGTGATTCCATTCTGGGGATCATCCGTTAGAAAACAAAAACCCAGAAAGGCTGAAGAGCCCTAGAGAGCGGATGCTTCTGTAAGCTGGAGGAGAGGTAGTTTTACAACTACAATAAGCATTTAAAAGACAGTTCAGAGTCAAGCTTGGTGGTGCACACCTTTAATCCCAGGACTCGGGAGGCAGAGGCAGGAGGATCTCTGTTAGTTAGAGGGAAGCCTGGTCTACATAGTGAGTTCCAGGGCAGCAAGGACTGTAGTGAGACCCCATCGCAAAATAGCAAACAAACAAAAAATAGTTAAGCAAAAGACCGTTCTAGAGACATAGCACAATTCCCCAGTCTGTGTGATATATGTGTGTAAACTAAAAGTTCCACAATAAAAATAAAGTTTGTTCTCCACACGCCCCCATACCCCACCAACAAGGCCTCATGTATGTTGGACAAGAATAAACCCATTTTTCTAACTAGGAAATTCTCAGCCTAACAGAAACAAAATCTTTACTATTGAGTTTTAAGTGCCTGGTCGAAACAGACCCAACTACCTCCCAGCTATTCTGGCAAGCCTCATTATAATATGGATTATAGCTTCACTAGCCCAGGGACAGGGCTTTTAATGTTCTCTGGGAGATAAAGAATTAATCAGCAACCCAGAAAAGAAGTTGTCTAAAAATGGATGATTTAGTCAAAGTAATTCCATTGTCTCTAAAATTGTGCCCTCAATCACCCAGCATCAAAACCCCACTATGGCATCAAATAAATTTTATGTGGTTAAAGAGACAAAATGTTCTTCTGGCTGTTATGGGAAGCAAAAAAGGGCTGACTGACTATGAATCAGTTATGTTTTAGCTCCACAACGAACATGAATTATGATAATTTAGACATTCTGGTGGTTGAACCAAAAAAGCAGGAAAATCAATACTTTCGAGTTCCAGCAAAAGTTTGTGGCACCAGGAACATGGAAGTGACCTTACATTTATTTCTGGACTTCCCTGCCTCCACAAAAATTAATGACACTATTTCCCATCCCTTGCTGACGAATCACAGTAGTTGGGAAGCCAGGACACGTCCACTTGGCAGGTAGGAAGAAATCTCTAGGAAGGGACTGAGGAACGTCAGACACCAAAGTTTCTTTACTAGGCATACTCTTTGTAAAAGCACCAAGATCTATTTATGATGCTTTTTGACTGACACCCACAAGCATTCTGGCTGACACAAACTTTGCAGATTGTAGGGAAGTCCCTGTGAGCTCTTTTAAGTAGCCCAGATGAGCAAAACACTCAGAACGCCACCATAATGAGCACCTCACAGGCGCTCATAAATTCTTTCATTCCCAGCAATCAAGAAGCAGCTGTTAAAATCCAGGAATCTTCCTAGTAGCAGATCTGAAATACCTCCGGGCTGCCCGGAGAAACTTCACAACTGCTTTCTCCTCTTCCTCCCTCCCCCATCCCAGGAGTGCCAGCCTGGCAGGATAAGGACGACCCAGGAAGGGGGGATTGGGGTGAAGGGGAGTAGCGGATCTAGTGAAAGCAGAGACGCAGGCTCCCTTCTTTTTCACCACAAAGAAAAATCAACTCCCCGGGCCAGCCAACCAGGTTTCTCCTTCCGTCCCCCAGCACACTAACTTCGGCAGTCTGATGAGTCTGGCATTTCCAGAGTTCGCGACCTCGGCCGCCCCGAGCCCTTTCCTAAGAGATTTTGAACCAAAGGAGCCAACAGCGTCTGAACTCCTTTCCAGGTTAAGACTCAGCTTGCCTTTACCTTTTAACCCGCCAGGACGCTACTTCTGGGGTCAAGTTCAAGATGAAGGTGCCCTCCTCACCTCCCTGAGTTCACTCCGCAGGAAACTGTAATACTGAGACGAGTCCCACTACTCCAGGCACAAGGATCCGGGGCTCCCAAGCAGGAGCCTGGGCAGCCTGCAGAAGACTGTCACAGCCCGGCGTCCCCCGCCCTCGGCCGCGGCGCCGCGTTTCTACCTGGCCACGGCCGCATTTCCTCCCGGAGCCTTTACACAATAAGTAAGTTTTGGGAACGCCAGTCCAGAGATCTTGCTGTCTGCAAACACGCTACACAATGCCCAGGGCTTCCTTCCCCGCCAGCCGTTCCGGAAAGAACCGCGCCGAGCCCGGGGGGCCCCCCTACACACCCAAAAGTCCTCCAGGAAGAACCTGAATCCTATCATAATGCTTCCAAAAGTAATCACTCATCGCCCAAGGGCAAGGGGACTCGCAAACGTGACACGACCCTCCACTTAGCTGGCACGAAAAGAAAAATCTTCAAGGTCTAATCCCAAGCCATCACCCCACCGCCGCCGCCGCCACCACCAAGGGAAGAAATTCGCGTGCATATGCGAGTCGCAGCCTGCAGGAGCGAAGCACACAATCTCAAGCCCACAGCGGGAGAGACGATTTTCCCAGCTGAAGTTCGCTCGGCAACTTCGCGACCCGCGCAGCGCGACACTCGAGACCCCGCGGTGCCATGCGCCCCTCCCGCATGTCTCCCCCACCCCCACCCCAGGTGCCCTGCGCAGCCCAGGCCCTGTCTAGCCAAGGGACGGAGGAGGCGGACGAGGGGCGGCTGGGAAAGTCTTGCGAGCCGCGTGATCCCGGTGTCCCCCCCGGCCCGGCTCTGCTGCAACCCGTTCCTCCCGGTGCGCAGGAAACGGCCTGCACCGACTCCCCGGCAGCGCCTAGCCCGAGGCCGGGAGCACCGGGCATGTCCGCCCGCGCCTCTTCCCGGAAAGCTCCCGCTGTGCCCGGCCGAGGAGGAGGGGGGACGTCCCGAAACTTTCCCACCAGCCTGGCTCTGGTTTCCTGGGCTGCAACCCGGGACCCTTCCTCCCCGGCCATCCCGGGCAACTGAGCCGGCTGCGGACGCCCGGAGGCCCGCAGCGGGCGCCCGGACAGCTGGAGTTACCTGCTAGGAAAGTTTCCAGCTCTCGACGCCGTTCCCACCGCGGGGGCCGGGTCTCAGGGCGCGGCGGGCTGGGCGCTCAGCAGCTGCGGCGGCTCCTGCGGCTCCCGAGCCGGGCTCCCGCAGCTGCCACCGCGGAGGCAGCGCTCGGGCCCGTCCCCCCGCCTCGCTCGGCCCACACCGGGACCTCATTGGCAGCGCGAGTCCCCGCCCTTGCGCGTGTTCCGGAAGGCACCTTCGCTGTGCGCGCCCGCTGGGGCTACGCCTCCCGCGCCCCTCCCGACTGGAAGCTGCCGGGGCTCGGGGACCCGCTGGGGCGCGGCACGCGAACTTTCCGCCCGGCGCCTCCGCTCCTCCTCTCCCAGCCCGTTCCCTGCGGGAGGCCAAGCTTCCTTTGAGAAGGCTGCTCCCCTGGGGCTCCCTCCGCCTGGACGCCTGTGGGACAGGACCAGAAGTGTGATTAGTCGCCCCCCACCCCGCTTTTGTTTTTTCCCCAGCCGCTTTTAAAAATCAGTAAAGTGGCCCGGCCTTTGGTCTACACTGCTCTCTAAAAGCATTGGAGGAGGACATATGAGAGCAATTAGCCAAGCTGGAGTTTCCGCGGATGCCTTAGGGTGGCTTTGTTGGTTTTTCTTCCCCTCGCTTAACTATACACAAACAAACACATTTTTTTTTTCTGGTTCCAAAATGAGCTAAGAGAGATGGACAGTGCATCTCGCTCACTGCACCTTTATCTTTCGCAAAAGTGAATTGGGAGCGGGGGGAGGGGTGCTCAGGGATCAGTGACTGTCCAGGGTCGAGGGTCCACCGCCTCCTTGAAGTCTGTGGCTGGGGATGCGGTCTGGACTGAGTCCACTGGCCAGCCGAGTGTAGCTTCTTGTCAGGAGGAGGAGTCCTGGAGGGGAACAGACAAAGATGCTATTATTAAGCAGGCTGGTGGCAGTAAATTAAACTCCCTCGTTCCCAAAATGTTTTGTTATTCCCAACAGACAGAAGTCCAAGAATGGCCTAGGGATCTGGGAGACCTGGGTCCTCCAGAAACCTCCCAGCCATCCACAGACCATTTACATGTAGAAGGCTCAGCCCCACTCTATTCCCAAAGTCCTTTGGACCCCCTTTCTTTGCAGAAGGATCAAGTAGAAATTCCAAAAGGAATTGGTCGCAGGCCGTCCGTGTACATAGAGGGAAGAATACAGAAGTTGCTATAAATGGGTTTATTGAGAACCCCTAACCTTTACTGTGGCAAACCCGCCTTTAAAGACAACTGTGTTTTAAACAAGTTTCCCTGTAAAAACTTCAGCCTCACGTAGAGCTTCCCAATATAAAGATAGCAGCCGGAATGGTGTTCGTATTTAAAGTTCCTGTGAAAAGCGACAGGAAGCAAAGGCCACTCAATAAAATAAAAGATGACTGAAATGTGCTGGGTATTTCTCACTCATACATTCAAAGGCCTGATTATCACTGTATTTATATTAAGCAGCAAAAGTATCTCAGGCTTCCCTCGAGCAAAGCAGGACATGAATATTCAAAGCAAGTAAGAGCGTAACAGGGGAAGCCGGGAAGTTATGGACAGCCCCTCCCCGCTCTCAAGTGCCTGGCTGTCGAAAACCAGGGTGATATTTGATTAACTTCTCTTGAAATACAGGGTGTGAAAGTTACCAATCTTTCAAACACAGATAACAAAGACAGCAACAATAAGACACTGAACCAAACAAAAGACAAACACTCAAAGGTCAGTCCAGTCTGGAATCCTAAGATGTGTGAGAAACTCCTAAAGAAATAAACAGGTACAGCTTCCTCCTGCTCAGGCTTGTCTGCAGTGGGCAAAATGAGTAGGTGATGGAGGAAATCCATAATTTTTTTGCGCATTCTTCTTGGACTATCCTCAGCTCTCTTTCTAAACTTGAATGAAATTGCTTAAAGAACTATGAAGACCATCAAATTTCTTCCTCTTTACCCTCAAACTTGACTTAAGTAGCAAAATCACAGAAAGTAAATATGCTAATTTCCTGCATCATCTTTATTTCGGGTTGAAAAGGATTTGGTTTTATAGTTTCAGAAGTCAAGGACGCTGACCAAGTAATCTCATCATTGCCTAGCTCGGGGTGCTTAGCATCTACCCAGGCAGAGAGCTAGCAATATGAAATCGGTACACAGAAGGGCCCTGTTTCCCTCCTTCTTGGAGTGTTTATATAATCCGCACTACAAGTTATTAAGCACAACCCGATCTCCTGCTTTAAATGATTACCATTATATACAGAATATTGTACTAAGAGCCGCAAAGCTGTCTTAACCTGTGAGTGAAAAACGATACATGTTGCAAAAGACAAGCTCAAACATACAACAGAGTAAAGAAAAAAAAATCATGGGTGAGAATAAAAAAGGGGGTGGGGCACGTTGAGATCTGTTGTGTAAGGACAGCCAGGGTCTCTTCTAAGATTTCCTAAGAAGTGTCTTCTTGAGCTGGCCCCTGCACTCGGGAGAGATGGCCCATCTACCCCTCACCACAGGCGAGGGTGGACCGACCCTGTGGGCATGCATGTAGGGCAGCTGACTCCTCTCTGTCGCCAGAGGACAGTGGCCCCAGTGGCCCAGACTGACCAGCTTGGCTACCACCCAGGCCCACAGTCGGGCCTTGGGTTGACCCATCCTAGCACTTACTCCCTTTAGGACCCGCTGGAGCTTGTGAAAGAACTTGTGGAAAGATGCCCACAAGATCTCCCAGACTATTGAAGGCCATAGGATACCCCAGAGGAGTTCTGGTGAGGATCCAGTGGTGATGGTGTGCCAGAAACCAGAGGCCAGACTCATTGCAATGAGCCCTTGCCAGTAAAGCTGATGGGACGAAGGTACATCATATGGCACACCAAGGCCTCCAGTGCCACCAGGACGAATGAAGAAGAGGTGCTGGAGAGGCCAGAAAGATGGAGAAGCAAGGAGGTTTTTCTGTTGGTTTGGTTTGGGGGATTGTTTTTGTTTTCTTGCTTGCTTACTTTGTTTTGTTTCCTTATGTGGAGGGCACAGCAGGGATGTAGGGAGGATATGAGGAGACCGGGAGGTGAGCAGAATTGGGGTGCATGATGTGAAACTCCCAAAGAGTCAATAAAGAAGTTAAATTTTAAAAAAGTCTCTTCTTGCCGGGCGTTGGTGGCGCATGCCTTTAATCCCAGCACTCGGGAGGCAGAGCCAGGTGGATCTCTGTGAGTTCAAGGCCAGCCTGGGCTACCAAGGGAGCTCCAGGAAAGGCGCAAAGCTACACAGAGAAACCCTGTCTCGAAAAACAAAACAAAACAAAACAAACAAACAAAAAAAAAAAGTCTCTTCTTAATATGTAAAGAATTAGCTGAACATAAGTTCAAACAGTGAATTTTCATGCTTTAAAAACAATCTGATTTTCCCTTAAAAATGATAGAAGGTACTTTTAGTTAGTTGTTAGGCAACTTTGTATTTTCCGGGGCAACAGAGGCTCAAGAATCACCGCTTGCTTTTCTTGGGGCTCTCCACTCACCCAGTTTTAAACGTTCCCTAATTCCTTGTCTGTTTATAACAAGTGGAAAGAAATAAGAGGGAACCGTAGATGGCACAGATATTATGTACCACACACATTCCTCACATATATATGTGATATGCTGGGTTCCATTTGTAAATTTTCTGTCACCTTGCCAACAATATAGCTTTTCTCGGCAGACCGAAAGAAAACAGCAACTATTAAACTGGTTATGTTACGGTACAGTTTACTGCCCAGGGCAAGAGACTGAGGAGGCCTGGGAAAAGAATGTGCCTTGTGAGTGCTGGTGCATTTCTCTGCCTTGGTCAGATTCCTAAGTAGTTCTATTTTAAATCAAACCTAAATTAGGGCCATAGCCAGTGTCTGTTATGGGATGTGTAGTATAGCGCACATAGTAAGAAGTAGAGTTTATGTTTAAAATTTAAATGCCAGATGAAATTTTAAAAATTAACAAGACAAGGTAATAAATCCAAACTGAGGCACACACTTCTTCTTTGAGGGTCATTTAATAGTTCCAGAGTTCATTCTTCTCCTTTGGTTCGTTCATTCTTCCTCTGCTTTTGAACATTTTTTGGAAATCGCTTGGGAAAAACAATGGAATGAAGTACCCCTATACAGTCCCTGCATGTGCAATGATCTGTAGTCACACATGTTTGCTAACGCCATTGGCCCATGGGCTAATGGCAGACATTCATCCAGGGATTCAGAAATCCGTTGCTGTGCTCGGTTAGCCAGGCTGTCAAAGGAGTCACATGACGTATAAACCGCTCGCAGGTCTAGTGCACGGCCTGCCAGTATTGTAGGAACTCATCCCACAGAGGGTAGGCAGTGAATTATTTAAACTGAAGGGAAATCCAGTTCGGGAAGAAAGTAGGAGAAACAGATTCAGATAGACTCAGGGTTCACATTGTGTTACGAGATATGGGAACAGATCTGGAAGGATGGCTCAGCTGGTAGAGACGTCTGCCGCCAAGCCTAATGACCTGCGCTGAATCCCTGGGACCAAGAGAGTAGGAGGAGAGAACCACCTCCCAAAAGCTGGTCTCCGGAAATGAATAAACCAATACATGTAATAAAACCTTTATTTATTTATTTATTTATTTATTTATTTATTTATTTATTTATTTATTCATTTTGGTTTTTCGAGACAGAGTTTCTCTGTGTAGCTTTGGTGCCTTTCCTAAAAAACTCACTCTGTAGCCCAGGCTGGCCTCGAACTCACAGAGATCCGCCTGCCTCTGCCTCCCACATGCTGGGATTAAAGGCATGCGGCACCACCGCCTGGCATAATAAAACTTTTTAAAGACCCTGGGACCAGCTGAAGCCCTGGGAAGGTCTGGCTTAGGGTAACAGGCAACCTGACCAGCTGTGTTGCTATTGTTGCTTCAGCTGCTGTATAATCTAAACTGGCCTGGAACTTCAGATCCTCCTGCCTCAGCCTCCCCAGGGCAGGGATTACAGGAGCACACACTAACTGGCTAATGTTTTAAAAATAGATTTATTCAATGCCGGGTGGTAGTGGCGTATGCCTCCCAGCACTCGGGAGGCAGAGCCAGGTGGATCTCTGAGTTAGTTCGAGGCCAGCCTGGGCTACAGAGTGAGATCCGGGACCAGCCTCAAAGCTACACAAAAACCC